TCTCCTGAAGTTTCGGATTCTGTCGAGAACCCTTTAGCATATATAACCGCAGGTTGGTGAGAGACAGGGGCAGATTGTGGTATGTAATTAGCTAAAAACCCTTTAAGTTAATTGGCGTTTCTTCCTTCAAGTGTTTTCTTGTAAACTTACTTGAAAGTCAGACAATTCTGAGTTAATAAGTCACACACATTTTTCAGCAGACAACCTGTTTGCTAGTTCTTAAAAAGACGCATGAGTGAATGCTAACGCAGACATTGTGCAACAACCGCAATGAACGGGGATAATGGCACAGTTAAATTAGTTAATTAATTAATTAACGGAACTTTATTTCGTCATGCAGCAAGTTTGCTGTTAAAAACGGCAAATCTCCTCAAGAAGGCTTACAGAGGAATTTCAGTGAAGTCTTCTGGTATTGAGTACTCCTTCAATAGATTAGCCGTAAACTGGTCAAGCGAGTCGAAACTCTTCTAAAATAACAAAAGCAAAATCTTTAATTCATTCTACAAATAATGCAGTAATCAAATTATTCCAAGAGGAGACCAGAATTTGTCAATGAACGGCATCACGCTGCTAAAAAGTGCCCGCTGTGGAGTTATGTTTGAAAAGAAATCCCTAGTTGAAAGTAGGCAGCTCAACTTCGGTCCTGCCCAAGTTGTTTATAGCAGAATGCCTGGCAGGCATTGAAGTATCAACGGTAGATTAACGCGCATCGAGCGGTTATAGGACGCGCCCATTCAGCTGTGCCTTTTTGTTTCATGGCAAAGCTTAGATCGTTAGCACAAATCAGAAGTTCAGCACCCGACCTACTCTCACAAACATGCTAGGCGGTCTTAAGCAACAAATAGAATAAAAAGGGATAAGCACTTTCCCGTAGGATCCACATGGTCGTTTAACGACCAAATTGTTTAGATGTAAGATGCAACCCCATGGCTATGGCCAATGTGTTAGCATAAAGTAACACAAGAACGCCTTCACTAGGCAAGTGTTCTTTCGTCTGAACGTCCTCCCTTTAGTCTGCTGCTGTTGGGATATCGTCGCAAGATAATTGTTATTAAATACCGATTTTAAAAAGTATATTAAAATTTTGGAAGGAGCTTAACAACTGTAGGTCTTGTTAATTTGTAGGCAATTAAATATTATTTCGAGAGACAAAACGAAATCGCCATTTCCAAAAATACTGCAGGTCTTTGCCAAAGCTACATTTAAAAAAACTGAAGCAATTTCCTGTATCTTTTCGTTCGTAGATTAAGTAATATAATAAACAAAATTTTACTGACGCGAATGCATAAGCATGTTTGAAAAGTTTACTTATCGGCACCGGCCCCGGAATCTTACTTTTATCTTAATATTCTGAATCAAACTATGACTTCCAATTTATGAACTGTAAAGTTCAATTTATTTGACGTTAGTTTCTCTGGTTATCCTATAATAGATTCTGTAATAATGTTCATGATCTTGACCATGTGTGCTTAAAGTAAACTTATTCACTCCAGAACAAGTGGCAATTAGCACCTTTTAAAAAGTCTAAGTTTGCTGAAATACAAAATTTTGATGCAAGTTTTCTTGGGTGAGTTTGCTCCAGACAGGCTCTGACAAGAGATAGCACATTTTTAGACCGTAAAATATTGAATTTTAATAAATTACTCCAATAGGTACTAGTAGAGCTTAATCCTACTGTTTTGTAGAAAAACCTTACTGCGTCGTGTGAGTATCTTAATAAATTCAGTTTCCCACATAAAGGATATTTTCTCACACGCTCCTAATGGTCAACATTAAAAATGTGTGCAAAAGGTGTTAGGTTACGTTGCGGCACATCTCTTATCAAAACTTTGTGTGGGGGAGTGCAACAGATTAACATTATTTTGCCCTATGGCCTATGACATTTAAGCCGCTTTTACGCCTGTGCCAGTAAGCCAAATCATCATCAAAGTGTAAAGTTTTTCATTTATTACCATTCTGTCACTTTTAGCTCGTGCAGGTAGCTACGCAAAATAATAAAACGATTAGCTGTAACGACTTCACCAAAGACAGAATACCTCAGTTAAAGGAAGGCGATTTTATGTAACACAGCAATTCCAGCACTTAAAAACGAGTAACACCGCAGCAACATATCGGAGCCGGTTTTCGGATAAGCAATGTGTTCATATTAATTCGACAGTTTTGAAAAAATGTTAATTATGAAGTTAAATAACATAAAATGGAATTGACTTAACTGAAACAATAAATATTAACAATTGACTCAAAAGCAGTTCGTAAGGGCAAGTACGCACGTATTGCTATTTATGCCTCATGACAAAAAGGAAGGGCGTGCGTGAACAGCGGAATCCAATTAGTGTACTTGGGTTATTCAGTGGGGAATGAATACACATTTGTGAAAGCCGATAATTTTAAGAGAGCACTAGAAACTAGTGAAACAATTTTTTAGGCTTTTTAATGTCACAAGGATTTAATGCGCGAGCGTAAAATAAATGCTTAGCATCAATATTTTCGGGCTTAATACGAAAGTCAATATGGATAATTGATTAAAATTCCATTAGCTTTAGACGGAATTTGCACACACGACTGTCGCCGTTGCATCATGCAATGACACAAATCGCTGAGACAGGTGTTAAATCGTTTTTTATTACTCGTGGTAACAGTCAAACGGATGTCATTTTGTAAATCACGCAGAGGGACATAAAGTGTACAAAGGCCCTTTTAGAAAATACCAAAGCTTCCGTTTGAAGGGTATTTTATGCGTATGCTGACTTTGTGTCTGAGATTCTAGTCAGTGCTGCTGACCAGTCGAAATTCAGTTTTAAGGTACTGCCAAAGCTCACATCTCTGTTGAACTACGTTATATTTTGAATAACTCTGACTACTTTAGAGATATCACAACTGGAATTATTGCAAACGGAATTGAAGACTAGTATAGCAACCTAAAGGAACAACTTAGTTTATGGTATGCTACTAAGGGAGAATACACAGGGCATCATGGAGGTACACACTATACATAATATGAGCTTTATATTCGCAGAATCAATTTTCTCACAACAAGAATGCATATTTGCAATAAGTCCACGAAAAAAATGGCTGCAATTTTTTTATCAGTACCCATTCGTAAATATTTTGCAACTAATAGTATTTAAAGCCCTTCCAAAAAGTTGCACGATTATTTTGTTAAATTTTATCCGTCAGTACTATTTTTGTGTGATTTATACGGGTGCATTTACCCATTATGTTTCATGTCCTGATAACAATTTTGCTGTGATTTGCTAGATCTCGCACGTGCACGAGCACGTGATTTAGCATGATAAGCACGTCTATAGAAACTTATTGTGGCGCTATGCACCTCAGTTAGGGCCGAAAATTTTTCTTAAGGCGTCGGATTAGCCAATCAACGTACGAATAATATCTAACTGCGTATGCTCGAGCATGTTAAAAAGTTGTTAGTAAATGTAAGCAGGGACAGGAGCGTATAAGTATCAGCCAACAGTGACAAAATTAACTTATGTAAATCAGTCAACATAATATAGATACCTCGCTTTTAAATATTTCCCAGGTATAGACATCGGTCAAACTTGTCATCATGCGTCTACTCAAGGTAGCATACCGCGTTTTCGATGATTTTAAAATATGCACATTTTATACTAATCAATAAAACAATGTTTTAGGCCGAAGAGAACGTGAAGAACTCAATTTTCCCAGTTGATCGAATGTCTCTGTGGATATTCTGCAACAATGTAAAAATATGCCAATCTAAAATAACAAAGTAAATTATTCATTATATGTTTGTGGAAAGAGGTAAACACCTGCGGGGTCTTGGCCCTACCTATGTGTTGTTTAAATTTATCAATAACAAATTTTGATAAACTCGAATACACAGATACGCGCTTTCGATTTTGACGCGTGCTAGCAACAATCTTGCTAATCACCCTCCACAGCTCAACTC